TAAGTCCTTAGTACAGCTAGGACTTCCTGTGCACATTAAACTCTCTGCTCTTACAGCCCCCTGCATCAGTGCACAGAGCAAGTTCTTTCAGATGACTTTCACCTGTTTCCCATAACAGAAGAGCAAGATTAGGATTGAAAACATCTCCTGAGGGATTAAGCAGTATACAGTCGTAGTTCATTTTAATTCATTTTCACCAACACAGGTTAACAGAAGCTGTAAACAGCTCCTGCATTACTGAGACTCTGGGATCTGAAGCTAATTCATTTGCTCCCTGCACTTTCTCTCACTGAATGCAATGGTATAGTTTAGGCTGGGGATGATGACACCTGCACTCCTAGGCCTTGCTCAGACACACACCACAACCTTCTTGTGTAAGGTCTTAGGAGAGTCATTTCAACACCAACTGCTGTTGGATAATGGCATTTACTAGCCAGCGTGCATCTACCCAGTGCTGTTGCACCACTTACTCCATACGTTTCTGCCTAGACAGGAAGTTACAGTAAGTTCTGTACAGCATTGATTGTACTTAACTTGAAGTACTTTTCTGATTTTAATGTAGTACCTAAATCCTGTTAATTCTTACTGAGTCGTGTTCTTCTTTAGATGTCAAGCTAAGCTCAATAACTGATTGTTGTCTTAGACAAACCTCTTTCCTCTTGTTAAAGGCATGTAAGAGTTTGTCCTCTTGTTAAAACTTGGAGAGTACAAAAAGAGAACCAACCCAGTTTCCTCAGTCTGATTTTACTGCACAGCTTTTGATAGTTGGTGAAGTTACACCCTTTCAAACTGAGACTGCTTTGACACAAGTCAAGGCATAATTTCAGGGAAGAAAATCCTTTGGAAGCTCAAACACTATTTCCAGCACATGCAAATCTTCACATTGATAAAAGTACACGTTTGCTAATTATCACAGTCAAAACCAGCATTACCTTTCTATCTTACCTATCCTATTCCTGAGTAAGCACAGGCCAAATTTGCTACAAGTATAGCACTTGTTGCTGCCTTTGGAGAAATTAAATGTCATTTCTCCATTTTCATATGGTTTCTGATACTTGAAAAGAAGCATACCCAGACTCCCTAGTAGGGAGCAGAGTCAAATAAAGGCATGTGACAGAAAAAAAGCAAGCAGATACAGTTAAAAACCCTGGATGTACATAGGAAGCACACAATAGAGTGTTCCATGCCAAGTCCATCCTGTATAACCAAGTATAATCAATTAGCACAATGTGGGAAACTGTCAGGCTTTTGAGACAGGACAAAGAAAAATTAAACTAAGACGCAGAGCCACACATCTGTGTAATATATAGATCTGTCTGAACACTACAGTGGAAATAAATTACAACAAGTATTCTCTCTTAGATAGCTACCTAAAAATTTGCTATCCATAATATTAAAAAAAGTGCACAAATCATAAAATAAAAAAAATTCGATGTTTTACAAGCTATGCCACAAAACATCAAATATCTAGAGAAGCATGTTTAAACTTCAGTCATAGTCTGAATTTCAAGACTTTTAATATCAAGAATTTTAAAGTTTTCAATTATTTTTTTTAACAATCACTTGTGTTAGAATCAAGCTTTTATATAATATAACTTAACTGTTACTAAGTAAAACAACTTTTGTTTATCTCCACTATACATACTTAATTTCAGTAAAAAAAAGGATCATAGTCTACAACTGTATATTTGTTCTTTTCCTTACACCACATATAAGTAGTGGCAAATTTAGGAAGACGAGAGTGAACTACTGTACACTTTATCAATGAGTTATACTTCGTTTTTCCCTACTTCTCCTCCCTTTCCTTTCTGAAATCGAACAGTGAGTCAGCACACAGAGGAACTCATTTACACGGAACACTGTCACACTTGTCTTTGTTGGGTCACCATTTCATGAACAACCCAGGACGTATGGCTGTTGGAGACCGGTGCATAGAGAGAACTTCACGCGTAACAGTTCTTCGGCTGAGAGCAGTCACAGAGCAAAACAGCTAATCAAAGCATGTTACAACATTACATTTTCACTTTTTATAAATGGAGTAAAGATGCTTTAAAAATATATTTACAGTTAGAAGAAGGAATTAAGAATACTACAAGTCAAGATTATTTAAAAATTATGAAAGTGAAGTTCTTTAAATTATAAGATTACGAAGAGTCAAATGCCATATTCTACTTAGAATTTGTCTATTCTGCTGTCAGTACTGTCACATCCCTTTATCACAAACTTTATGTAAACTGCAATGTAAACACTGGCAACGTAACAGTTCAGTTAAAACCACCACAGCTCAGTTTTCAGATCCTAGCTGACTTGTGTTGTATCGGTGGTTAGAAATTGCTTTTCTGTGTCTCATTCCACAAAGAGCAGTGAGACTTTCCCGCATTCTTTTTGACTATAACCACACTCACACCACATTTTTGAGATTATGCTGTAAAGACACTGAATCCACTCCATCCTCCTTTCCAAACCAAATGGCTACTTATTTCCGAAGATACAAAGAGACCTCTTGTTAGCAGTGCTGGGTGGTTTATTCACATAAAGTTAAATGAAAATACGTTTCCCACTTAGCGAACTACTGGTAATAGATTATTATTATTTGTTTGCAAGGAATTCTGAAATGTGTTGGCATTCGTTACATTTTAAATTAGAAACACATTTCATAAAATATCTTGCAATGAGATTTGCTGTCATTAAGCTGCTTACTTTAAACAGTTTCAGCTTTCTTGCAATCCATTACATCAGTATATTCTGCAAATAGTTCCACCTAAAAATAAAATATAAAAAATAAAGTTAAGAAGCATGTATTTTTCTTTTAAAAACTAGTGTATGTTATTCTGAACACCAGCCCAGCCCCAAAAACATTTCAGAACCCTAAAATGCATTTTTACAGATGCTAAGATTTGGCCAGGTAATGGCAATGAACAGACATCCTATTTAGTAAGATAAAGCAGAATACATAATAAACAGGTCAGTAGTTATCCATCTGAAATAGCCTAGAATTAACATTTGATGTCTAAAAAGTTTAAACAGCAACACCACGGAATGAGGTATGTATGTTCTCAGATATCACATCAGACTTTCATTTTATGCAACTAACTGTATTTCACAACTAGCATCTTACAAAATAGAACAGTACCATTGTGCCTGTAGAAGTACTGCATTAAAAACAGAAAAATACATTACTACAAGAAACCACCAAACATCACAATTGTCAGGGGCTACAAAAATCCATTGTTTTAGCTGTTGAGACATAGCATACATTGGTAGTAATTTGGGGCTGGATTCACTACCATGAAGGTCCATCCAACTTTTACATGGGCTTAAAAATATATTTATTCTGACCAAAAAAGGAACGGAATCACAGGAGTGTATATGGACTACCTCACTAGAAAGAGCTAAATGGACTTTTGTACTGAACCTGAATCTGTAATTTAAAATCTATACATGGATTGTATGTGTGTATCAAAACACTTATTGGTTGTAAACAAAAATGCAAAATCTGTATTCACAAAAATATTTTATTGGTGATTTTACATTATACCAGATGGGATCGTAAATAGTTCTGCTCTGTATCAGTATATTGCTAAGTGCGTAAATGTTGACAGTTTATGCCATAAAGTAGGGTACTGACTTTTTTCATGTGATTTATGACATAAAATATTCATAAAAACAGGCCAAATCAAAACAAAATTGATTCAGGAACAAAAAGTTTATAGCACTGTTATTTCCTTACTCTTGTGCAACATCTGATATTCCCGTGATGAAATGCTAAGTGACTGTATGACAGTAGATAAATTTGGGGCAAGGAAACAGCACTACGCAGAAATAAGAACTGCACTTCTGTTATTTTTAAAGCTTTTCCAAACTTTCTTACTTCCAAATGTTAGTTTTTGTCAAATGCATAGTCATCTGAGGTTCAATATTTGTTACACAACACAGAATACCAGTGTACAGTGACAGTGTAGTACTTCACCTGAATTGTAAGGTTAACCAATCAATGCTTAGAACATGGTTTCTATTTTGTTTGTAAACATTACAATAAGTGTTTTAAGTGTGAAAAAATATTGGTAAAACCATCAACATAATTCAGTAACAGTAATCTAGTAAAATGTGTCAAACATTGGCAAAAGTTCATACAAATGTTTTATTTAATAACATTTTTCCTATTTAACCACACCAAGTACCAGCAGGTGTTTTTAAGAAGATAATTATTATGAAAATTCTGTTGCAGCAATAGTTGATTAAGTTGATCTCTGACTTGCATACATATAACTATGTTTCACAATTCTCAAATAATACATATTTAGGCAGCTTGAACTATGTTATAAAAATTTTAATTCAGTACATGCCAATAGTAGAGACTCCAAGTGTCGTGTTAGAATTCACTAAACTAAAAGTGAAAATGGACTTACCAATAACACTGCATAATGAACATTCAAACCACATTTTCATGGCACCTTTACACATGAAGATTAAAAAGTTGGTCTGAAAATGCTTTGTAAGCATTTGTAGATTGCATTTAAATTATTGTTTCTACCACTGCACTTTTTTTTTTTTTTTAACTGCATAAATTATGTTCCAGTCAACACAGCAATTGTGCATGGGTAATCTGTCATGAAAATGTGGTAACAGGCGACAGAAGTTATGTATTTGCATGTTTCAAAGAGAAGAGGCTAAAGAAACTGGAGGAAATAAACTTTAATGAGATTCCCCATTCAGTGATGACGCTTCTCCTCTGGGTGAGGACGACCTGGACATTCCCCTCTCTGTGTTGTCAGAGCTAGAACCACTCTGACTGTGTTGATCTGCAGAAGCAGCACTGGAAGCAGGTGGTGACTTAGTTTTCTCCTTAAAGTCTGTAATTATGACTGTCAGATCTCCAACGGTAACTTCCAAATGCTGAGCGCTACTTCGATCCACATTTTTCAATCTTGGCCTAAATAAAGCAAATAATCATATTAAAAGCACTCACCATCTTATCATCTTGTCTTCCTTCTACTTCCTTTTAGGAGCTCTGGAGAACGTAGATGTGTACATACGGCTGCTATGTGCAACATGTAATACACAGGAAAACGACATACCGCAAGTATTTTTGCTACCGTTCCCTGGTATGTTTTACATGAAACCAGCCAAACCTAACATGTTCCTTTCTAAGATTATTCATAAGGTCAATTTTTAAATAATGTAACTGTTCAGCAATATGCATGTGTTGCATGTGTGAAGGTTTTTACTTTTAAACATTGCCTTTCCTTATTGTGGCTTTAGAAAGTTATCAATGTGACCCAGAGAAGCATCCATCTCTGCAGCAGCCTTAAGCAGCAATTCTAAGCAGAGAACAATGTTCAATAATTAGGACGTTGGTGTCTGTCCTTTGAATTCAACAGCACAGATGGCGTTAACTTGCAACGGGTATTGCTTCGTTTCAAAACTTCACTGGGGCTGCTGGTATACTATCTGAACTGGACGTGGTGTTCACAGTGTAACTCTGGTATTCCTGGCATATGCTGTGATTTGAATTATGCAGAGCCCTGAGTATCACACAGTGCTGATAGGGTAAGTCTCTTCATCTAATCTTCAGCTGTTTGATTTTTCACAACGTAAAGACCAGAGAAGAGTGCTTTGACTTATATTCTGCCATCACATTTTTGCTAGTGACAAGCATGAAGTACTTCCTATTTACTACTTTCCTTATACAACCATGAAAAACTGTCACCAGACAGCTGAATTTACACAGTCCGTTACGAACAGCAGAGCTTTATGCACTGAACTGCCTGCACAGCTTTCACTAGCTCCAGCTGCAATACAATAAATTAGTATGACATCACACGTTAGCAGGTGTGCTAACAGCAAAGCCTTAGCTAACCTCTACCCACCCTATCATCTAACTTTGTTTGAAGTAGAATTGGTTCCCAGCTCCTTCAGCTGGAACACCTTTCCTCCGCCTGAACAGAGACTGGCTTTGACATCTCCTTCCCCTGAGGCTGAAGCAGCGCAACTGAAGAATTTAAGAGGAAACTGAAAACCTGCTGCTCGGTAACATGGGAACGGAGAGAGAAATTCAGCGTTATCAACCTGCGTAAGTGCCATGCCTGGAGCTTATTAATGATATTGAGTGCATGTGCAAATTTTTATGATTGTTTCCAGCAATAATAGACAAGTTTTAAAAGAAAAGGATATCCTCTGGGAAAAGGACACTGAAGAAATCTGCTTAAACTAACTAAGCATTCATAACTCGGTATCCTACCTAGTGAATCAATTCTGTAAAAAACTGAACAGGTTGAAGCATTTTTAAAAAAATAGCCTAGTTATTTCAAATAGCAATTCTTAAAGCAAGTCTCAATACTTGTATTTCAGTCCAAGATTTTTATTTTATAGGGTTTTTTTAATGTTCTTTTTCCCCTCACTTTTACACTTTTAATTGCAATTCACCATCAATATTTCTATTTATAGTATTTAACTAGCTGAATTAAAACTCACTATGTTAACTTCAAATGCTTCACAACTGAAATATTTCAGCTGCGTGAGGTAAGCTAGGAAATCTGAGTACCGTGGGCAAGGGGGGAATGAAAAGGCAAGGAACATCCCAGTGACCCTAATCCTAACCACGACTTTCTTAACAATTGTTCTCTCTTAACACTCAATCTCTCCCTGGTTCTGATCCCGATGATCCTATTTCGGGCACAAGAGAAGCATCTGCCACTTCTCCGCATAACTAATCGCAAAGGATCTTCCCTGGCAGGACTACTTTGGAGGGCTTCCAACAAAAAAACCCAATCAATAGTTCCTCCCACATTTGACCAGACTACATGTCCTGTACACTTCTGAGCTTTTTGGCACAGCATTCTTGCCACAGTAACTTTATACTTAGACTGTGATGATTTAGGGGTTAAACTTGCTGCTTTTGTTTTGCAGTTTGCACCTTCCTTCCACCCGGTCTTACAGCAAGATTAAGGCTTTTGCAACTGCTTGTCTGTAGTGTAATATTTCTCAGTTCTAAGAGTCCAAGGTTTCCTTCAGCATCCCAGATGCAGCATAGAGATTTTTATCACTAGGTAATATACATGCCTTATCCTGTCACTTGAATTTATACCAGAGTTCAGCCTTTCAAAATTTATTCCAATTCTGGAAGGATAGCAATAACCATGTTACTTGCCTGCTCTTCTGCATTCTGGCACCCGTTCTTGCTCTTACTATTTTCCATGCAAACCAGTCACTCCTGTGCCCTCTCTTTTCCAGAGATTAGTATCTGTTTGCCCATCTGCAGTTGTGTGTGGTGGGAGAAATACCCTTAACTTAAAATACCCAAGTTTTTCTCTATATATTCCGCTGGTCTCCATCTTCTGGTCAAAATTACAAACTGCAGGTTTTCTTCGCATTTAATAGGCGTCCTAAAATGCTGACACTTCACACACAAATATTCAGCCTTATTGTTGCAAGAGTTTGCCGCAGCACTTACAAAGTCACAGAACATTCTTACTTTCCTTTTTAAATTATGTTTTAACAGGACTGCAAAAGGTTCTAAAATTTTTACCTGGTTTTCTTATGACTGTTCTTTTTGCTTGTTGTTTCCTTTTCACTCTTCTCCTTTTCTACTTTGTCTTTTTTCTCTTTCTTTGATTGTGTAGGGGGCACGAATTGCTGAGGAACCTGTTGTGCAACCAGCTGAGAGACAGGTCGAGGTTTCCTGTGTGCACATATACACAGACACACATAATGCTTAGACTTTACAACAACAGCCTCAAACTCTCTCCACTTCAGTTATTAACAGTCACTACAAAAAGACATACTGATAAAACTCCTCTTGCTGCTAATACCTCTTTAAAATAGCGTTGCAATTTTAAACCCATCACAGCCTTTCGTTTCACTTACCTGCAATATCAACAAGTGACACTTTTTAAAGATTTAGAGACAAGACCATGCAATGCGCCCTCTTCTTCTAGTTGTCATATCCACACAGACTTACACAGAGCGAACTCCAAAAGGTGAAGCTTCCAAAGGGAATACTTCATCACCAAATCCCAAGCTCCTCAAATGATGAAGCAATCTGTTTTGAGTGTACTGCAATACTGAAGTATACAATCCGTATCACAAAAAGCAAAAACCTGAGCTTTCAGGTATCGGAGCTAAAGCCACTGTTGGCCTTACAGAGTAAAACTTCAGCTCAAACAAATCCACGGAAAGCAATGACAAATTCTGTTGCGTAGCATTTTTATCAAGTTGTTCACTGGAAAAAAATATTCTGTATTACACTAATAACAGTAGGATAGAACTGTCAGAACATATATACTTTAAAAGCCAGCAACAGAAACTTGTGACCGCGTTCTGCCATTGTACACAGCACAGGTTTCATTTCCAAGATTTAATCCAAACTAAAAACCAAGGTGAGAAGAGGAACAGCAGGCAAAAGAATTTCAACAGTTTATTATTTTTACATTTTCTGAAATGGCTTTGATTTTATTTTGTTTTGTATTGGAATACAATGATCCTAATGTGAAATGAAACATCTTACTGTTCCTAATGCAAGTGTATTTCTTTTGAGCTTTTGGAATTAAGAAATTTCAAGTCATGACATATTAAGAAGGAAGGTTCTGTGATTCTGTTAAGAATTTGAAGGTGCAAATTTCTTCTCCAAGAGAATGTTTACCCTGCCATGCTCTTCAGTTTTGCTATTTGGCTTGTGTTGTTAGGTTTGTTTCTTTTTTAAGTAGAAAAAGCACAAGTTATATGCACTGTGATAACCTGAAAATACAAAGCAGTTATTAAAGCAACAGAAACTATCAGCTCTTACACATATTTATTTATCCCAACCCACAGGATCACGCTACTGGCACTTCTTGCTTAGGTGAAGCGATGACTAAAGTAACAAAAGCAGAAAATCAAGGCAGCTCCCATTAGCAGGTTATATTTTCAGTAATGATCGCAATAGTCCATGTTACAGAGCAAAAGTCACAATAATCTGTAGAGTGTGGGGAAGGCAGTTAATATAAACCAGCTGGGATTTCATAAGTCTTCATAGCAGGTTCTTAATGAATTAAAGAATAAAGACCATTAAAAATGTCACCTCAATAAAACTCTGGGGTAAAAGCTAGACGTCCATAATCACTCATGAACTAAGCCCACACTAACACATGGAGATACGAAGATCAGCAACAGATCACAGTGAAAACTACCCGTCTTGTATCAAATGACACATGTACAACTACAGGCTTTTCAGGAGAGCATTGCAACTAGGACCTTGGAAAACTCTGTACAGAGTCCAAAATCACAGCAGTTACCTGATGGACTACAGCTGTTTAACAGAATCTGCGGAACATTTTTCAGAAAACGTCTCAGAAGCGTTTTGTGTTTTTGTCAGGAGTTCATAACAAAGCAAGAACCACAAGGTGTAATTGATGCACAAACCTATCATTTCAGGTGGAAAACACTTGTGACCCATAAACAAAACTGATCATCTGTCTTGAACCGAAGATGGCTCCAGGAGATGGGGGTACATGGCTCCAGGAGTACAGGGAGTTAATACTCCTAGGGACAGCCAAGTGACAATCCCATCATTACTACGCAGTGACCAGAGAGAATTATCTGACACGTTGCTTATGAAGTAAGACAATAGTGAACTTCGACGCAGAATTAATTATTGCCCAGGGCTACAGACAACACTGTGATCATGGAAACTTGTTAAAAAGGGGTGGAGAGGGGAAAAAGGGTTCTTAGCCAACTATTTTAGGAGGTCTCAATTTGTAGCAATTTCAGTTCCTGAGGGCAAGGTAGATAATTTCTATTAGAGTAAAGCTGGGAAATTAAGCTTAGAACCAAGTCCTACGTTTAGAACTTCTTTTTCTAGTACCACAAAACAAATGCAACTGACAAAAAACAGGTCTTTGCCACAAGGAACAGAAGTCAGTTAAGACAAAAAACCCCACAGAAACCATGATTGCGAAGATGCGCTAAAAATTAATCAAGAGGTTTTACATGGTTTTGCTGCAACAAGGAATTCTACTCAGTTATTTTATTCCTTCCAATTAAACATCCATCTTGTTGCTGTCAATTATTTCTATAGCTGTCTATGTTTTAAAATTTATCATCCGCTTTATCACTTCCAGATTTCTTAAATGAGTCATTCAATGTTTTTATACTAAAAACTGGGGGAAAAAAAAATTCACATCTCTCAACACTGAGTGTTTTTCAAGCATTCTTTTTTTTTTTTTTTCCCCAGGTACTCAAATGGGGCTACTGAACTGCAACCAAACTCTTTGCAAGCCATGCAGGCTTCAGGAGATAACTTGAGCACTCATGAAGCTTTAACCTGATAGAATTGTTCATGATTTAGCAGCAGCTGAATCATGCCATTCAAGCATGAAAGAATTCATACAGAGAAGGTTTTCTCGCAGAGAAGATAAATGTAAGAAAAGCTATGTCTATAGCAGGAAATTGATTTTGATGATTTGCCAAAATACGACATTTTAAATTACTGTTTTTCAAAAACAGTTAGTTAAAGACACCTTGTAATAGGCTGCCTCAGATTAAGTAGATACAGACAACCTTAACACTGCCTTTTATTTCATCTCTATATTTACAGTAATTTGCTTTTTGAGCATATTCAAGAGCACCTGAGCTAACTGGTATTTAGAAAGAAGCTCTATAAATGTCTGCATTACGATTACAAGCATTTTTGCCTCTGCCACTGGGAGTGACTTTACAGCTGAATAGTCAAGAACTACAGGCAGAAACGTTCATAAGCACAACACATACTGCTCAGTCAGCCCCTCAGAACTTTGCATTTTTATTTAATAATTTCACTTCAGTCATTTTAAGTGGAACACTGATCAAGAGCAGCATACACTATTACAAAAAGAACTGTCAATTCTTCCCAACAGAGATGAACTCTATGGTTTAGGCCCTAAGCAATGCAGCCGTACCAACAAACTGATTTACTGAACTGCCAAGAGATCACTAAACATCACAGCTCCCAGTATTATGCCTCTTCTTCTCTAGCAATTAGTTTTCCTTTTCAGTGTTATCTTTCTTCTGAGTTAAGATCAGCCACACTTCTACCCACATTTCTATTCAACGTCATCCATTATCATTTTATTAATTATCTAATTCCAACATTGCTGTCAAGGCCCTGCATACAAATACTCACCCTACAATTCCCATTAAAGCTAAATGACAAGGATGTCATCATTTTAACTCCATATTCTTCTTTGTTGTAGGATGTGACTACATTTTATCTTACTGGATTTGGTCTAGCCGCTGGTTTACAGGGTGTATTTACAGAGGCTGCAGAGACTTGTCTATTTAGGTTGTGTGTGCAGAAACTCATCCAATACTGATGCTCGCAAAGGGAGCGAGTATTCAATACTGAGAAGGATGGACTAGTTTTCACTGTTGGCATTCTTAAAAAAGAAAAAAAGCTTTATAGCATAGCAATTTATAGGACTAGATGATAAATACTCATTCAAGAATACACACAGTGCACTAGACCAAATGGTATCTGGAACTTTTGCCCCGAGTCATTTCCCTCTCCCAGAGCTCAACACAATACCTTCCTGCTCATAAGTCATTTTGGACACCTCACAGCAGTAAATACTTCCTTAATTTCCCTCACCAGGTACTCACCAATCGTCTGCATAAAAAGAACTTTCACCAATTTGATATGGTGAATAACTTGGTCTCATTACAACAAAGCAGGTCTGTGTTGAAAATGGAAATGAACCAAGAAATATCGATGTACAATACTATTAACAGATGCAGCAGAAGAACAGTGATCTCTCAGTCACCCAAGCTGTACATCAAACATGCAAACAACCAACTGGTTTAATGCTGAGGCATCTTGGGGTTTGGCTGAATTTATTTGTATTCTACAGAGCACAACTACATTTGCACAGTGCTGCTTCTACAGCCATCACAGACTGAAGCAGACTAATGTCTCCTGCACTACTCAGAGTATGCGCTCAAATTCTGACAGGCCTGAGCTACACCTGGAGTACTGCGTCCAGCTGTGGAGCCCTCAATATCAGAAGGATATTGACCACTTGGAGCGAGTCCAGAGGAGGGCCACGAAGATGATCAGAGGGCTGGAGCAGCTCTCCTATGATGAAAGGCTGCAAGAACTGGGCTTGTTCAGCCGGGAGAAAAGGAGGCTCCGAGGAGACCTCATTGCAGCTTTCCAGTATCTGAAGGGGGCCGACAAGGGTACTGGGAGAGGACTTCTTACAAGAGCCTGTAGTGATAGGACAAGGGGTAATGGGTATAAATTGAAATCAGGGAGGTTTAGATTAGATGTCAGGAAGAAATTCTTCACAGAGAGGGTGGTGAGGCACTGGAACAGGTTGCCCAGAGATGTTGTGGATGCCCCATCCCTGGCTGTCTTCAAGGCCAGGCTGGATGTGGCTTTGAGCAACCTGGGCTAGTGGAAGGTGTCCCTGCCCATGGCAGGGGGGGTGGAACTAGATGATCTTTAAGGTCCCTTCCAACCCTAACCATTCTATGATTCTATGATACTTATCTGCCGGACCAGCTCTAGGGTCCATCCGCTACAGTCTGGAAACCGAGCACAATGTGAACAGACAACTGTGGCAGTTTTTCCACGAACCAACCTCAAACCCACCTACATCTCACGCGAGCTCTGTGTCAGCGTGATGCACACCTGTGTGTGTGGTTCAGGGAAGATCTATCCATTTAGTGCTGCATATCCGGAACAAAGTAAGGGCCAGCCAAGTCAGACTGCCAGGCAGCACAGTGCAGTCAAGCAAGTAAGGCTGCCGACAAGCACGGGGGAATGACGTGACCAGTCCAACATGACAGCCAACACCTTTAGCTGTGATTCAGTGTGCACCACGCTGGACTTGGACTGGTCCATAACCAGTACCCATATCCTCCCAGTATCTACAGGTCTCAGAACAATTTCTACGCTTTTCTATAAGGAAAGCTAGATGGTATAATTAAATAACACTGCTGAATACATACAAGTTTTCAACCTGTTGTGGGAAAAGGGTACTGTCATCTATAACGCGCAGTTTACAGAGTTCAGATATTCTGAAGAACAGGAGACATACTCAAAGGCACGCTCTTTCTTGAAGCTACATCTCCTCTGCTTTGCATATTTTACTAGTGCAAAAGTAATAAAATTACAATTTCCCAATCTTAACAGAATGGGTCTAAATTAAGGACATGCTGTCACCTCAGCTTTCAATCAAGCTGAAAGATGCTCTTCAACAGATAACCTGGATCCAGAATAGAACCTGCCAAGCAAAGCTTCTGTTCTAATATGATCCCTTCCTTTCTTTCCTCTTCTCAAGACCATCTAACCTCCAGGTTTCATTGCAGAAAAAAAGTCCTTGCTGGAGGCTTACCCTGTCTGGAGTGGCAAATTGTTTTGTAAAGCAAGTGCCACATGCACCATATCTAAAGACTTTTAGAACAACCATACGTTAAACCATATGTGTAAGTCTGCTACTGAGCTCTGGTCACTGTACTTGTCATGCTTTTCTTCCAATAGCTACAGCAAAATTGTAGTCCAGTTTTACTTATCTATCAAGGAGCTGACACAATTCTGTTTTCAATTCATCTTACTCCCTTGTTTCCCATGAAATTATACACATCTTGCCCCATCCTAGAAATCAGGAGGAAATCACCTGTGAAACATTATTCCTACAGAAAGATGTTGTATCGTAGCTGATCAATATGGTACTGATCTATTTTTCGTTCATGGAGTCACATTTCTCCTTCAGATATGAAGAAGCTACCTTTGGAATGACAGAAGCATTCAATGAGACAGGTAAGTTGTTCATACTGTTAAACAGAAAAGGTAACTATTATATACCAGGAATCATTTATTCATCAGAACAGTTTGAGCTTTCAGGCTCATCAGCTGTATCTTATCATCTCCTAACATTTTTTCATCCCCAGAAAAGACCGGCTTCTGAGCAAAACAAAGCCTGTGATATTTCTTCAAAATGCTTCACCTGCTTTTATGTAGAATCTCTACGCAGTATCCCATATATTCCGTAATTTCAACTTTGCACATGAATTTTTCCCTTCACTGTAGAAGTTTCCTACTTGTTAAAAAAACACCCACACGTTTCAGAGACTTAAAGAGGTTTTATTCAAAGGCACCCCTAATCCTTAAGCAGTACCATTTATCTAAACTTCTCTTCCCTGCAGGGACACACTGACCTTTTGTTCAAGACAGCACATTAATCCCTCAAGAAAGGGAGGTTAGAAATATCTGGAACAGAAACCTCACTGATTTTGTTTTGCCCTTGGTCACAGAATCCTTTCCTCAAAAAATGAAAAATCCACATTATTCTTTAAATACAAAGTATTTTTTCCTTTCAGGTGATTCAGGAGGACCGAGTAAAGGCATCCAAGTTAACCGAAGTTCCCAAATCATCTACTCCTTGTTGCTTTAAGACCCTCACTGCACAGGACTGAAGTAATGAGTCCAGCATGTTTTGGAACATCAGCTTCATTCACACTTGTGCAATCTGTTCTGTACCACCAGCAGGACATGGCAGAACCCATGCTTTGGAAACCAGTAATCTAGTCAATCTGTCCAGGGTTTTTCAAGAATCATCAAAATCACTATTGCCAAAAGGCCTCACAAGCAGTAACTAACCCATCTATATAAGTCATCTTTGGTCAAAACTCTTGCAAAGCTGATTGTAAAGGCCAAAACATTTTTTAATTTTTATTTTAACAGATCCTATTCTTTCCACAAACTCCACACACAGTTTTCTTTGTGATGGGAAAGTCTTGTAGTTTATTCCAAAAGCTGCATTATAACCACAGAGTATGCCTATGCTCTATGGATTAAACCCAGAATGCTTGTCACATTTCTAAAGCTCTTAAAAAAAAAAAAAAAAATTCAATGTCAGACATTCCCAATTAAGTATCTTCAGGCAAAGCGTAAGAGAACAAGCTCAATCAGCTTCTAGGAAAAAATACCTAGAACTATTCACCAGGCAGAGAAAGTCAATCAGCTTCTCAAAGCACAGCAAGTTCACCTGTATCCTACCTTCTTCGTTTACTACTTTTGAAGGACAACTGCTTAAAAAGCAACCTTCCCAAAACTGCACACTTCTGACAGCCACAAAGAAATGACTACACAGAAAGTGGAGGCATTGTCATGACGATACTATCTGATTAATACCCCTTTGATTTGTCCTTCCATCTTCTCCTATCTTATATACAAGCTAATGCAACTCCTACTTGAAGTCATGCTGAAATTCAGCTGGTTGCTATTTGGACACATAGAAATTTTTGTTCAAGCACTCATCTTTAATTACAGAAGCTTTTCTTTCATTTACTTATAATTACACTGCTTGCTTCTTTCTTCGATAGCTCTGTTTTCCCCTGACTTCCAGGTGACACACAGTAACCAGCTATGTGGTCTCTTGAGCCACTACAAATGCTCAGTAACTTGGAGAGGAAACGACTCCACAGCAGACCCTTCCTGCAGGTCGTTCTGATGGCGCACAGGAGCACGTTACATGACTGTAACAGTACAAACAGCACTAACATTTTAAGATTCTTTTCAAAATTACTGCTGAATGCAAGGAAAGCATTTAATGCATTCTTCTCAAATTCAAAATTAGCAACTTCTCCACAGGTCGACCTTCTAGTGAAATAATTATAGGATACTTCAAAGATTAATCACTCTGTGTGGTTTTTTGCAAACCCACCATATCCACTAGTATTTATACTTAAAATCTTTTTGGTATTGCCCAGAATGATACACTCTTTTATACTATTGCGACTATGTAAAACATCTGATTTTTAAGGTATTCAGCCATGCCAGAAGGTTCAGACACATCAAATACGTGTTTATGATGCCTGCACAACTGTAAAACTGCTGGATACCTGAAAAGTGTACAACTTACAGCAATATACACCATTTTACAAAAACACTGCTACCACAACACAACTATTTTTTATGGTACTTGTACCTTGTGGTACTCTTCCTCCAACCCATGTCTTTTTTGGGGGGGAGGAAAGGGGGCTGTCTTTTTGAAACGCCAGCTTTTACAAGCTGCTATCAAACTCTTCTAAGCTTACTCTGCACCAAATTTAAAATTTCTCACTTCACAGCAAACCAACCAAAGCTATGTGCATTTTGTTCACCTAGAAGGTACCACAGATTTTCATCATTATGAAAAAAAATGGTATTCCTCTTTCTCTACTGCCCTGCAGACTTGCTTATCTCCTTCCCATCTGCTACTGTGGGGCTTCTGTATGTTTTTGACTGAGCTAAGACACTCGGTTCTAATTTTGATCATGTATGAGTTACTCCTCTCCTCCACCAGCTTCTGCTATTCCCTCATCTAGCGAGGATTTCAGAAATGCCTTGTTAGAATGCCCGAGTTTTTCCAACCTTCAATTCTTTTAGAATTTGGTGTTAAATGTAATTCTTGTGACAGGAGGTGGACTGAAAGTCTTTAGTTGTCTGCATTTTGTAGAGCATTGCCATTGAAAATAAGAGTAATCCCTGATAAAGGAGGACAGACCTTGGAATTAATTAAATTCAGTCATCTCCTTCTTACAGCTTCAGCCTTTATGCAGAAAATAGAGGATGTGGGCCATTTCCAACAACCATTTTTTAAAGCATGCTACCCATTTGCTAACAGCAAACATGTATTTTACTTCAGACAAGTCAATACATTCTTCGAAAATTTACAGCATAATTTCAGTACTGCATCTTGAATACAGGGTTATATTTCAGATAGCTGTACTTAGAAATTCACGCTGTTTTGTTACTCAATATTCTGTACCACTCCACTGCTTCTTTATTTTTAGATCTTGCATAAATTCCTCACCTCCAGACAACACAAAGCCAACTTCAGGAAGACTCTGACTGTGTCTTCATATCAAACCTTACCATTAGATAACCAATCAAATAGTTTTGTAAATATCCCTTCATAAATACTACCTGAGGGGATAATTTCACAAAGCTGTTAAAAATAAAGACTCTCACACACTGGCTAGCCTAAAATTCTGCAAAACTACATCAAAACCAACTGAAACAGTTCAAAACATTTCCACGAGTGTTTTCAGAATGCATTTGCAAGACAGTAGGAGACCTGCTGTATCAACTCACCAAGAAAAAACACACATGCCCATTCCCCAGAGCCATGCACCTAGTAAGCCTACAAATCACCCTGCTCAATGCTTCTCAGGTCTGTCACCAAAACCAAAGAGACAAACTCCTGTAAAGGTACTATTAGAGTAAGTACTTGTTTGGTCTTTTCTTAAATAATTCACATCCTCCAGCAAAAAGAAAACGCTAACACCGTATTGTTTATTCTACTTTAAGTAATTCAGTATGTCATTGTGAACTATACAAAAACTGCTGGAAGAAATAAGGTTAGGTTTAACCAAACCCTAATAAAAAATCTTGTATTGCTGACAGTTGTGTCATACATATCTTATAGAAGTCTAAACAGAATACAGTAAAGTGCATTGAAATCTTGTTGAGAACAAAGTCTAATCATTCAAATCCTGCTCTGTTCTTTCATTACTAGACTGGATCTTTTCCCAATACAAATGCACAGGCTTTAAATATCTTATAATTTATTTGAAGATCATTTTCCACTCACGTCTATCCTAAATATTAATGTCTCAAGAAGCTAATAGAAATCTGATACCCACAGTAATACTCTAATCTCCATTTTTCTAGTTCACAGTCATTACTGAAATCTCAAGAAAAGCTTATCTTTGCATACTTTCTACTTAATCTATCATATTCTTGCTAGTCCCTACTCAAATCTCCTTCACTGCATGTCCTCATTTCTCTGACTACTAAGGTCTGCATTCTCAAACCTATCTTAACACAGTAATTAGAAGAATTAATCTGAAAAAAAAAAAAGTTGTTCCTAATCTCCAAAGCAATGCATATATATGCAAAAATGCATACAGGGAGTCAGCTAGAAGGATGTGTGATTTTACAGTAAACAGCCAAAAATAAGATCTTCCACCTAAAACCACTTTCTCGTACCCTTTTAAGTGAAAGGCTACTCCTGTAACACGTACTATCAGGAGAGTATCTTCACTGAGGTATGAATGTTTTGAGCAATTCTTAGGGCAGTTATTTCAGTAACTCTTACAGGGTACAGTTATAGTTAAATACACTGTATGATACACTTCCTGTGTGTTCTCAAAAAGACATTAATGATGTAAAGCTCTAAGTATAACTTTGTAATAGAGCTTAGACAGCTTTTTACTCTGAAGATCACAAGACAGGTTATAACCAGCAGCTTTGGAATGTGACTTTTCCATGATAGACTGATTATGTAGAAGAGATGCCAGAACATTTTCACTTCCTCTGGCATGTCTGCTTTCTTAGAAGCCATTCTGCAAAATGGGTTACAATGAAACTAGTAATTTTTGCATCTATGCCCCTTCCAGAGTCTTATTCTCTCCCACTGTAACTGGCTTTAATAACAGCAAATGTAAGCAACTTCACATGAGCAGGGGAGAAGAATTAAACACATACACAGCTACCCCAATCTTCCTTGTTTTGAGCTGACCTCTCCCTGCAAAGAGCTTAACTTCAAAAGAGGTTTCTTTATTTTTTTTAAGACTAGGAATCCATGAAAAATGCTGGAAGGCCAAGATCTATATTTATAGATATGATGATAGTGTTGACAGTTTAAATAAAATAAATGGAACAAAAATTAATTTAGAATCATAATCTTGTTACCGTGGCTTACAAATGCACAGGTGAACAATTTCCTAAGAGTCAAAAAATGGTTACTTAAGTTCTTTATAATACAGAACGAAATCAATCTACCCGAGACACGCATACATGCATTAAGTCATTGCAGCAACTGTCCTCATGTAACAATGCAGACAGTTAACTATCAATCTGACACATGGTGAATAGCAGAATCTTACTAAAGTTCAAGTGAGAAGGTAAAGTTTAAATCTTATATTTTAGGCCTTTCATTCGAGTTTACGTACAAATCCATATCGTTACGGTGTAAGGACGTGCAATATGGCTGTACAGAAACCAAGAAAAAAATTCCCTATCTACCTCATCAACTTCCCTATCTTTTTCACTGATCTGTCTTCAACCCTCAGGAAGGCAATGATTTTTCCAAGTGCCAGTTTGACAGTAAACATTTAAAGCATCAAGTATTTCTCAAACTTCAATAGTATTCGACAAAAATAGTCGTCCACAATACACTCATACCCAAACAACAAGAGAATTGTCACGCGTTTCCAGACACAAAAAGCACACCAGCTTTTAATATGTCCTTCCAGAAATTTGCAATGAGGAGCTACAATGTTTTGAGATTTTGTTTTCCTCCATCATGAAATTTTTCAACTAAAAACATTTAAATTTTTCTAGATTGGATATGTAAGCAAAATTTCCTTTTTTTATCATCTTATCTTTTAATGGACTATCGCATCTCCTCCACAAGCTCTTTGTGCAGCACCTTGTGCAACAAGAGCTTCTATGTTGTGCCGAAATAATATTCCAGAACAGAGAAACTGCTTTTCAATTTCACTAAAAACCCAGCACAAACACCTGTTCTGTTACCACTGCACAGTAATCCTGTACAACCAGACTGTCACTTACCTCCTAATAGCAAAGAAAGAAAGAAAAAGGAAGATTCATTTCTGCATAAGCGCATCAGTGATATTACTTAAAGCAAATGGGAAATCATCAGAACACTGTGTATACTCAGTAGTACTGCAAACACTGTGGCCAATTAGATCTTGCAAACTGTGGTCTATGCGGAAGCTAGCAGTTCATCTACCCCTGATTTTTAGCAGTTACAGTCACTTTATGAAAAGCAAAAAATATTTCCTATTACTGGCTCTTGTAATACAAGTACAATAGTTGCTAGCAATTAAATTAAATCGCTAGAAGGAGAAGCAGTCTTTGGATTCTGACACAGATCAGCTCACCCTCCCTCAGTCATCAGTACTCTATTAAGCTATTCATAGAATAAAAACCATCAGATTAAACTACGTTTAGCTTGCCGTGTCACATGAATATGCTCATGCTAATCACCACACAAAGCCATCTTGTGAGAAACTAGTCTTTATTTCCACAATGAAGCAGTTCATGATTAAATGCATCTTCAACATTGGTAATTTACGTTGTTATCCAAAATTATTTTTTCTCATTACCATCACTTCTGTCATATCCTAGGGTGTTAACAGTACATTATACTGCCTCTGCAAATAACACAACTGAATAATTATGACAGTGCAAACAATGGAGCTAGTGGGCTGTACGGGAAACATAATATAGATCCATATGCATATTGCAGAGTAACAATGCAATTTCTAGACATCCTATGTATATTTGAATTCTAAGTTTCAGCCAGCTCTGACCTCCAGTGCTTTCATATTCCTAGCTGTTTTACAGCATGAATCATTTACTTGGAATTCATCCATTCAGTGCATTTCTAGCAATTCCATCTTTCAATAAAAGCTGATTCAATTAGAGTAGACTTACAAGACCCATATGGTTTTATCAGTCACTGTATAAATGTGCAGAAAACTACCCCTTGAGGCAGTGTCCCTATTTAATCATTCCCTTAAAGGGAATGCCCTATTTTCCAGATGACATTTAACAGATGAGGCCAGCAAGTCTCCTGAAGACAACTGGTACCCTGCACAAGTCCACCCTAAGAAGAAACAGCCTTATCGGGACCTTCAGAAAGCCCAAATTCATCTTCACAAATAGTTTTTAAAGCAGCCATCAAATGTTACTTTTCCAACCACCAGTTTTAAGGCTTCAACATTCAAACACACTGTTGTTAGAAATTCTTCCTCAAATGCTACAAACTGTGGTTCACCGACGCTCAGCGTGACAGCTATATTGAAAATATCCTCCTTGAGAAACATATGGCTACCACCCAATTTAAGTTTGCTAGATGACAATGTGCTACATGTGAGCAGGGGTCAGGAAGCTCAATTTCCTTAACATCCCCTGAGGAAGCAGTATCTGGGAGTCTGCAG